ACTGATCTTGCGAAACCCTCTTATAGTGCTGAGGCTAATTAAATATAGTTATCTGTGGGCAAGTAGATAGCGAGTGCTGGATGGCATATATTCTGAATCAGAAACTAGAGCTGATATGGTTCTATCCAATGTAATTTTTTGGATCAGCACCCCAAATAACCAGACTGAATCTAGAGTTGACCAAAAACTGATTGGTCACCCTTTTGGCACTAATGTTGGTGAGTGGTCTCTGGTCAAAAAAATGTTGGGAACCACTGCTTTATAGTGAACACTATACTCTTGCAGAAATTATACAAACTTCCATATTTCTTACCTGCCTTTCACTGCCTTTTATTTCCCATTACACATTAAAACATTTTGCTGTACTGAGAAGACTCTCTTAACCAGTACCTAAACCATGTTGAAGATGAGAAGAGGATAATCTTCTCTCATAGAATCTGTTCTGTACATTCAAGTCTTCTGGGAAACATTAACCGAAGCCAGACGGGATCAGGCTGGCAACTGTTAACTAGAGGACTTTTTCATCAGCTGCCCCCAAATTGGGGAATGACCTGCTGGAAGAGCTTTGTTAACTGGATATGTAGCATGCATTTAAAAGGCATGAAAGGTCAATCTCTTCAGGGGTTTTAAAAATTATTGTTTTTAATGTGTTTGGTTCTTCAACCAATATTGTACCCTTTAAGCTGATTATTAATGTTTAATGAGTGTTTGAGTTTTTAACTGTATTAGATGTCTGTATATTTTGATGTGTTGTTTCCCACCTTGATCTATAGCAGGCATGGGCAAACTTCAGACCTCCAGATGTTTTGGACTTCAACTCCCACAATTACTAACAGCCTCAGGCCCTTTCCTTACGCTGCTGAGGGGGGAAAGGAAGGGGCCCGAGGCTGTTAGAATTGTGGGAGTAGAAGTTCAAAACACCTGGAGGGCCAAAGTTTGCCCATGCCTGATCTAGGGAAGACGCAACAACAACAACAACAACTTTATAGTGAACACTATACTCTTGCAAAGAAGAGATTATACAAACTTCCATGATTCACGTTGGACCTTTTATATTTCTTACCTGCCTTTCACTGCCTTTTATTTGTCATTACATGTTAAGACATTTTTCTGCACTGATAACTCTCTTAACCAGTACCTAAACTATGTTGAAGATGAGAAGAGAATAATCTTCTCTCATAGAATCTATTCTGTACATTCAAGTTTTCTGGGAAACATTAACCAACGCCACAATTAATTATTATTATTATTATTATTATTATTATTATTATTATTATTTACTGAATACATTTGTTACAAAATATAATTGAGTGATAAAAATGAACAACAAAACAATACACAATCCAGCAATTTCTTTTGAAAGGAGGACTATAGTGGAGATAATAAACACACAGCCATAATAACTAGTTCTATTTTCCATGAATTTGCACAATCTCTCCTTGAAAGCTGATTTTGCAGCCATTGGTGTATTTTATGGCAGTCAGTTGCAAAGTTCATGTGTTCTTTACCTGTTCTGAATTTGCACATCGTTCCGTTTTATTAGATGGCCCTGGGTACCAGCATTTAGCGAGTGAGAAAAGTGTCTTCACAGGTGCCACACACCAGGCATAATTTCATCTACTTCTGTTGCCCGTTTTTTGTCTAAAATTATTTAGTTGCTTGGGCTTCCAGTATTTTATCCATTTTATACCTATTTATGTAATGTTTTGACATGAAATAAATAAATAAATGCATCCCACCTGCTTTTCTTCAAAGCTTAAAAACTTGTGTACAAACATTGGGAACTGATTTCAATTTCCAGCCCCCTGATGCAAAGTTTGGATACAAGTGAATGTGCAGCCACCATATCTGTGATTCTAAGAGCAAATTTGAAACTGGATTGGCAACAGGGGAAACTTAAATTGATACCTGAGGTAGAAGTAAATGAGCAGCCATCACTCCAATAATGCAGTATGCAGAAGGTTGGGAACTGGAGAAGAAAGAGACAAGATGTTGTGTTTGTCTGTATGTCATCAAGGCAAGAGGAAAAGGGAAAACTGTCCCTGCTGTTTGTTATTCTGGATTCAGACACTGGATTATATGGCAGTGTTGATCCAGCCCCAGAGGAGGAAAGTGAGGCTTCTGTTTGGGGAAATGGGAATGGAGCAATTCATCACTTCTTTGTCTTAGGGTGCATCTCTAGAGCAAAGGCATTTTAATAGCACTTGAGCTTCCATGGTTCATTGCTATTTTATTATGTCAGGAGAGACTTGAGAAACTGCAAGTCGCTTCTGGTGTGAGAGAATTGGCCATCTGCAAGAACGTTGTCAAGGGGACGCCCAGATGTTTTACCATCGTGTAGGAGGCTTCTTTCATGTCCCCGCATGGGAAGCTGGAGCTGACAGACAGGAGCTCACCCCGCTCCCCAGACTCAAACTGCCTTTTGGTCAGCAGTCCTGCTGGCACAAGGGTTTAACCCATTGCACCACCAGGGGTTCTGCTCACTGCTATGGAACTATGGGATTTGTAGTAAGGCAGAGGAGGCTAAATAACTTGTAAACATTACAGCTCACTTGATCCTCTAGCATTGAATAGTTCAAGTGGCAACAGTGTAGGAGCATCCTGAAGTCCCCTGAGGTTCCCACTTTGCTTTGCCTTAATTTATCAAGAGCCAGCAAAGCTGGGTTTTAGAACAAGAGGTGGGCAATAAGGCTGGATGGAAACTCCAAAGACCCTCTCACCATAGGACAGGCCTAATGGGCATTGCCATCCCACAGCTTCTACAGAGCCAAGTATCATCCTCTCTGGGTTTGAGGGGGGGGGGGGGGGAGGAGCTACATATGGCCACCTTAAAATATAAAAAGGTAAGCTGAGGGGAGGAAGACAAAAAAGTGACTCCTCTCTTCAGAAACACAACCCTCCCTCAGGAGCACACATGAACTTTCAAGTACTTTCCCAGGCACCAAATACCCTGCCTTACTTCCCAGCTTCTGAATCCAGATTATCAGCTTTGACCTGGATGATATGAAAGTGTAGTTTTATATAATCCAGTTCAAAGCAGATCATCTGAGGCCCCTACCACACAGCTGAATAAAACCCCACATGATGTGCTTTGAACTGGAATACATGACAGTGTGGACTGAGTTAACCCAGTTCAAAGCAGATATTGTGGGATTTTCTGCCTTGATATGCTGGGTTATATGGCTGTGTGGAAGCGCCCTCAATTCAGAAATCAGAAATGTCAATCCAGCCTGATTTATGGCGACCTGCCAAAGTCGGTTTGCTTTTGTCTCCCTGAGGCTGAGGGCCCTTCCACACAGCCATATAACCCAGAATATCAAGGCAGATAATCCACAATATCTGCTTTGTACTGGATTATCTGAGGTGCCTTCCACACAGCTGAATAAAATTCAAAGTTATCTGCTTTGAACTGGGTTAGATGGCAGTGTGGACTCAGATAACCCAGTTCAAAGCAGATATTGTGGGATTTTCTGCCTTGGTATCCTGGGTTACATGGCTGTGTGGAAGCGCCCACAATACACAGTCAGAGAATCCAGTTCAATGTTGATTTTATACAGCTTTGTGGAAGGGTCCTAAGGGCACTTCCACACAGTCCTATATCCCAGAATATCAAGACAGAAAATCCCACAGTATCTGCTTGGAACTGGGTTATCTAAGTCCACATTAAGGGCCTTTCCACACAACCCCATATCCCAGAAAATCAAGGCTGAAAATCCCACATTTTCTGAGTGTCGACCCAGGCCTCTTCCACACAGCTGAATAAAATCCCACCTTTTCTGCTTTGAACTGGACTATATGGCAGTGTGGGTTTAGACAACCCAGTTCAAAGCAGATATTGTGGGGGTTTCTGCTGTTATATTCTGGGTTATATGGCTGTGTAGAAGGGCCTTCAGATATCCCAGTTCAAAGCAGATATTGTGGGATTTTCTGCTGTGATATTCTGGGTTATAAGGCTGTGTGGAAGAGTCCTCAGATATCCCAGTTCAAAGCAGATTTGTTGTTCATTCGTTCAGTCGCTTCCGACTCTTTGTGACCTCATGAACCAATCCACGCCAGAGCTTCCTGTTGGGCCGTCACCACCCCCAGCTCCTTCAAGGTCAAGCCAGTCACTTTAAGGATGCCAGTTCAAGGCAGATATTGTGCGATTTTCTGCCTTGATATTCTGGGATATAGGGCTATGTGGAAGGGCCCGCAGATATCCCACTTCAAAGCAGACATTGTGGGATTTTCTGCCTTGATATTCTGGGATAGAGGGCTATGTGGAAGGGCCCTCAGATATCCCAGTCCAAAGCAGATATTGTGGGATTTTCTGCCTTGATATTCTGGGATATAGGGCTGTGTGGAAGGACCCTGAGAGAACATGATTTTGCCCAAGACAGGCCTTCTGTGCCTGAGGCTGGTTCTCCACTGCGACATAATCCAGTTTGAAGCGGCTAATTTGGATTTTACATGGCAATGTAGGTGGGACCTACACTGAGGGGTTCACCTGTGCGTCCCAAAACCCCATCAAAAAAGAAAAGGGCAGGAATTGTGAGGAGGGCCCTTCCACACAGCCCTATATCCCAGAATATCAAGCCAAAAAATACCACATTATCTGGTGTGGAGTCAGATAAACCATTTTGAAGTGGATATTGTGGGACATTCTGTCATGATATTCTGGGATATAGGGCAGTGTGGGAGGGCCCTCAGATATCCCACTTCAAAGCAGACATTGTGGTGTTTTCTGCCTTGATATTCTGGAATAGAGGGCTGTGTGGAAGGGCCCTCAGATATCCCACTTCAAAGCAGACATTGTGGTGTTTTCTGCCTTGATATTCTGGAATAGAGGGCTGTGTGGAAGGGCCCTCAGATATCCCAGTTTAAAGCAGACATTGTGGGATTTTCTGCCTTGATATTCTGGGATAGAGGGCTGTGTGGAAGGGCCCAGAGACGTTGGGGCGCGTGGCAACTGTTCAAGCAGGGCGGGCGGCGCGTGAGCGGGCAAGGCCGCTCCTGTGGGGCGCGCGAGGCACTCTCCAGTCCACACACATAGACAGACGGTTCGGGTCCCCGTGTGGGACATGCGTGGCGGTGTCCTCCTGTTGGGACTCCCTTCGTGCTGAGGGGGGGAAAAAGGAGCGCCTCCTCCTCCTCCTCCCTCCCGCATTGGCACCACCGCCATAAATGCTTCTCTTGCTCTCCGCCTCAGAGGCGCGCAGCCGAGGAGGAGGAGGAGGAGGCGGCGGCGGCGGCGCCTTCTTCTTCCAAAAGAAGAAAGGCGAGATTGAGAGAAGGGCCTTGGCCGCCTCCTGCCAGCGGGCCTGAAGGGTTCCCCGCGGCCGCCATGAACCAGGCCCCGCACCCCGGCAAAGATGCCCCGGCTGGAGGAGGAGGAGGAGGAGCCGCGGCAGAAGGAGGAGGCATGGGCCCGGCCCCGCCGCCGCCGCCCGCCACCTCAGGGATGCCGCCGCCGCCCAGCCTGCCCCAACTCATCCAAAAGTAAGCCTCCCCACGCGTGGAGTGTCACCCCACGCGTTCCCGCTACTCGTTGCCTCCTCCTCTGGGCTGACAAGCCTCTGCGCTTTGTGCCCTTGAGGCAGGCATGGGCAAACTTCGGCCCTCACACAGTTGTGGGAGTTGGAAGTTCCAAAACACCCGGAGGGTGTTTTGGACTTCCAACTCCCACAACTGTGTGAGGGCCGAAGTTTGCCCATGCCCGCGCTAAGAGTAAAAAGCCGCCTCCACGGATGGTGGTTTGGTTTCAAAGCCTCAGACCTTGAACTGAACCCGGCAATCTCTCCTGAAAGGGATTATTTGGATTTGTTTCCTGAAAAAACATAAACAGAACCACGAAATCGGCTTCCTCTCCTTTGCCCTCTCCTTCCAGAAAGGCCCCACGAATATGTCCTCAGGAAGGTGGTCTCAAATGTTATTTTCCTCACAAAGTGAGAGGGAAAATTATATTTATTTGTCGAAGAACTCACAACTTCTTTAGGGAAGCAAATGTAAAAGAGAGGAAGCCTAAGAGCCCTTCCACACAGCCCTATATGCCAGAATTTGTTTTGAACTGGGTTATCTGAGTCCACACTCAGATAATGTGGGATTTCCTGCCTCTATATTCAGGTATATAGGGTTGTGTGGAAGGGCCCAGAATCCACACTCTGATAATGCGGGATTTCCTGCCTTCATATTCTAGGATATAGGGCTGTGTGGAAGGGCCCAGAATCTATACTCAGATAACGTGGGACTTTCTGCCTCTATATTCTGGGATATAGAGCTGTGTGGAAGGGTCCAGAGTTATTGAATCAGCTCAAAAGCCACACTCAGATAATGTGGGATTTTCTGCCTTCATATTCATAGGGCTGTGTGTAATGGCCCTGGCTGTGAGTTTTCCGGGTTGTGTGGAGCATTAACATTTGGAACAATATTTTTGCAACAACCCTCCTAATAAATACTGTTTTGAAAAAGAGAAGGCTGCAATTTATTCTTGAAACCTAAACAATTTCCATGGAGCCTTTCCTTGGGGAAGTAAGTGCCTAAAGCAGAGGAAGCTTGGGGTGTTGTGAGTTTTCCGGGCTGTATGGTCCTCTTCCAGAAGCATTCTCTCCTGATATTTCACCTGCATCTATGCCTGCCATATATGCAGTCGAAACATCAGGAGAAAAGGCTTCTAGAACATAGCCATACAGCCCGAAAAACTTACAGCAACCCAAAATTATATTTGCTGACTAAAAGAACGAATTAGGCTTCTTCTCGTATTGTCAAAGGCTTTCATGGCTGGAATCACTAGGTTGCTGTGAGTTTTCCGGGCTGTATGGGTAAGCATTCTCTCCTGACATTTCGCCTACATCTCTGGCAGGCAACAACCCAGTGATTCCAGCCATGAAAGCCTTCAACAATGCGAGAGGAAGCCTTTTTCTTTGTTTTAGGAAGCAAATATAATTTTGGGTTGCTATAAGTTTTCCGAGCTTTATGGCCATGTTCTAGAAGCATCCTCTCCTGATGTTTCACCTGCATCTATGGCAGGCATAGATGCAGGTGAAACATCAGGAGTGGATGCTTCTGGAACATGGCCGTACAGCCTGGAAAACTCACAACAACCCAGGCTTCCTCTCCTTTACACTTGCATCCCCAAGGAAAGGCTCCATGGAAACTGTTTAGAATAAATTGCAGTCTCCTCTTTTTCAAAACAGTATTTATTAGGAGGGTTGTTGCAATAATATTGTTCCAAATGTCAATGCTCCACACAAAGTGAGACAAAAGTGTATTAGGCCCCTTCCACACCGCTTTGTAAAATCCACATTGAACTGGAACATATGGCAGCATGAACTCAGGCCCCTTGCACACCACTGAATAAAATCCCACATTATCTGCTTTGAACTGGAATATATTGCAATATCGACTCAGATAACCAGGTTCAATGCAGATATTGTGCATTATCTGCCTTGATATTCTGGATTACATAGCTGTATGGAAAGGCCCTAAATTTCCCAAAAAGTGAAATCGGCTTCCTCTCCTTTGCACTCTCCTTCCAAAAAGGCTCCACTAACATGTCTTCAGGAAGGTTGTTTCAAATGTTTTTTATTCTCCTCACCAAGTGAGAGGGAAAATTGTATTTGCTTCCTAAAAGAACGAAACAGGCTTCCTCCCCTTTCCTTGCTGCTTCTCTAAAGAAAGGCTCCATGCAAGTTGTTTAGGTTTCAAGAATAAATTGCAGCATCTTCTTTCAAAAACAGTATTTATTAGGAGGATTGTATTAGTTTCCTAAAAAGTGAAATCGGCTTCCTCTCCTTTGCACGTTCCTTCTAGAAAGGCACCTCTAACACTAACAGGAGGGTTGTTTCAAATGTTTGTTATTCTCACAAAGTGAGGGGAAATTGTATTTGCTTCCTTAAAAAATGAAGCATGCTTCCTCTCCTTTGCACTATCCTTTTAGAAAGGCTCCATGGAGGGTTGTTTCAAATATCAGTTCTCCTCACAAAGTCTCTTTCTCAGCAAAATCCCTAAGAGAGATTTTGATTTGTTTCCGAAAACAATGAAACAGGCTTTCTCCGTATTTTCTCCAGTACAAAAGTGACTGATGGGGAGCATATTTCTCTCTCCAGACACTGTTCCCATGTCTCAAGAAAGGTAATTGAAAAGGTTATTTCATATTTTAAGCTCCTTCTTGCAAAGGACTTTGCCCAGCAAAAGGGACACTCCTGAGAGGGATTTTCTTTTATTTGTAGGCATTCTTCATCTTGGGAAGCAAAATATATACAGGCAGTCCCCAAATTCTGAATGAGATGGGTTATGTAAGTTTTTTCTTCATTTGAATTGGTTGGATAGCATAGGGTTAATACCTCAGTGGTGTTTGTTTTGCTGCCTGTGCTCCTGTTCAGAAAATTTCACTTTCTGTCCCTGTGATAATTGGATTTTGGAAATACTGGCTTGTTGTGGAAACAAGGATTGGTGTAAAAAGTGAACTGGGGGACTGCACTGGCTGTATTTCTTTGACACGGACTCTGGAAACTCCTACCGCCCTTTTCTTTAAAATTAGTATTTATTTAGGTTTCAGCAATAAATGTAGTCCGCCCCCTCTTTAAAAACAATATTTACGCTGCGTGGTGTATTTGGCGTTGGTTTTCTTTCGCTTTTTAAACCGAGCTCGTCCAGAGGCCTCGACTTTGAAGAGATGGGTCGAAATACAAAGAAACTGCATTGATTGAGCACTGTCTGTCAAAGAGGAATGTTTTTTGAATCTACAAGTCTTGTAATTAGTAATTTCAGTACCAAGACCACTAATAAGACAATTTATAGTAGGTCGACTTGTGTTGTTCTAATGTGAACTTATTTCCATTCACAGCGAAGGGAAATGAGTGTACTGTGCAAAGTCAGTGTATTCCTTTTTCTTTTATTGAGAGATAGCATCTGAAGATCAATCAGATGAACTGGAATTTTTTTACCTGGAATCATAGATGATAAAACATGCAAATATGATAATTACATGTGATTTAATGCTTATATATGTAGGATAATAATAACGCTGACTTTTAAACAATATAATAAATCCTTATGCTTCACCTTCTATTTCTTTGTAGTCATCATAGCATTTATGGATCTTACAGCAATGTTTGTTATTCTACTAATTCATAATTTGAAGAAATAGAATTACTGACCAAAACAGAGCCGGGATTTGTCTTAAGGATATTGCTATGAATAGACAGATGAATGCTTGCCCACATTATTATTATTATTATTATTATTATTATTATTATTATTATTATTATTATTATAAATGCTATGATGACTACATCATATGAGTAAATCTCACTGTACACAATGGGATTATTTTGGATTATATCTCCATAAATGGCTATAGGATTGTAGCTTCTGTGTAATATTTTGAAAATCAAAGCATATATTGATTGGCTGTAGATAAGAAAAGTGTTTATGAAACTAATTATGCATATTGAATTAAAATAAACTTTGGAGTAGGTCTTAAAATTCCTCATACCACTGATTATTTTTCATAAACAGATAAATTGCCGGCAGGACTGCAGATCAAAAAGGTGAAGCATAAGGATTTATTATATTGTTAAAAAGTCAGCGTTATTATTATCCAGCACCTCCTGCTGCAAGTATATTTGTGTGCTTTTATCAAGAAAGAAAACAGACCTGTTTGTATTGCAAAGTCAAGCTAGACCTCTTGATTAAGCTGACGCTTAAGCACTTTATCATAGGAAGATAGTTAAAGAGACCCCAGTATCTTGATGGTTGGTATTTGGATGCCAGAGGTATTATGTTAGAAGGAAAATTCTGATTCCCAGAGATATTTAAAAATGTTTCCTGTTAAAACAGTTTCAAATAAATTTAAAGCGGTTGATGCTTGCCTTCTTTCCAAATATCCATAATATAGATAGTAAAGGATAACTTTAGTTTGATGCAGTAATGGGTGCTCCATAAACTGATGCTGTCTGTGAATATGCATTGTTATTTTGTTTTTTTGTTTTTTTGCCCTCAGCATTTTGTATGTTGCATGGTTTGATTTGAAAACAATCTTTGTATGCTGAGTCATTATGATAAGAACAGAAGTATTATTAGCTAAGAAGTCCTTATTAGTTTTGAAGGGGAGAATGCATGGTTTTCTTTCTATATTAGCAGGAATCAAGCATTTCAGCAGTAGATGTAGCAACTAGGAAAATATTGTTTTAAGTGACCGACTATGGACTGACCTGGACCATGAGTTTGAACTGGTGGACTGTCTTAAATTGAATGTACATAAGTTTTTAATTGCTGTTTTAATTGTGATATTTTACTTGTATCTTGCTGGCATCTAATGGTTGCCATGAGTTCCCCTCCGGGGGTGAGAAGGATGGGATATCAAGACTCTAAATAAATAAACAAATAAAATATATTTATGTGTCTTTTTGTATGAAGGATTAAGACTGAATACATTTCTACTGTAAATATTTAATTTCTTGGTGTTTGTGTGTGCAATATCACAATGCTAAGTAATA